AAGTTAAACTTGGAAATATGTTCTCATATCCTACAAGTAACAAACTGCTGACTATCAGTAAAACTCCAGTTTAAATGAGTGTTTCCTGAGGACACTATACAAGGAACTACAGAGGTAGCTTTGAGTATTTTGGCACACACTGAGACAGATTTCATCTCATCTGTGCAAGAACTGTTACATCTGTGTAGCTTACATCAAAACGAAGGCCAAAGGTGACAATTGGTGGGTGTTATTGTCTTTAGAGTTTTATGACAGAAAGGCTTCCTAACAGCTGGTTAACATCATGAAAAGGTCCTAGTGGTTTTGGTGCCTAAATCTAACCACAAATTAACTGAGAAAAAAAAAGCCAACCACGTCTAAAATAGAAATAAGACTGACATTTAGTTTCACCAAGGAAACAACACTGCTGCAAAAATCTAGTGCCTTTCAAGGGATCCACTACAACCAAATGCACTCTGTCTACTAGTAAGGCTTTTTTGGCAGACATCCCTTAAACGTCTCTCAGCAGCCAGTTGGTATCCAAGAACCTGACATCATGCCACGTGTGATCCTGTTACAAGAGTATCTCTAGTTTGCTACTTATTACTGTTTCACTTTATAGGAGCGCAACATGTTTTCGTCATCTGTAATGCAATTAGGAAATTGGTGTGGACACGAGTTTGCTGCAAGATCGCATCCATCTTAACTTAATGGAACTAAATTTAAGCTTTGATGTTGGCTTTGCAGGAGGTGATGGGAATCTACCACCTCGATTCCAGAGGGTCAGAGCGCCACTGGCTCCTACTGAAACCCCTAAACTGTGAGACGTCTCTCCTGGAAACACTACCATCTCCTTCTCTTTCTTTGTTCCTGTTCTTCAGTCCAGAGTATAAAGAATATAAATTCTTAACATTTAACTATTTGAATTAAAATTTAAGTCATACAACAAACTTTACTGACATCTTTTAACAGTTTGACATATTATTTAGGAGTGTTAACATCTTCCTTGTTACCATTTAGTCTTTAGGCCTTTAGGCCATGCTATCCCAAAATACAGTGACCCTGAGAGCGTAAATGACCTACAACCTAAGACAACACTGGCAAATACAAAAATGCTGCAAAAAGCATTTAAAAAACCACAGAAGTTGAATAAAACATGAAGGAAGTGAATAAAACTCAACAGATATTAAAGTAGAAAAAAAAAAAACAAAATCTCACAACATAAGTGTTTTTTGGGAGACAGTAATTTGTGAAACTGACGGAAACCTAAACATGAAGGATTGCACTTAGACTCGTTTAAAAGAAGCGGAAAATTTATTTGTGTTGTGTGGGAGAAAAGTTGGAAGGTAATGTGTTTTAATTGCATGCTTCATACAGTGCTGTAGATACATGTTTGCTACTAGCCATAGATCAGCAGAAGTCAGGTTCAGTGTGTACCGGTTATTTTGTTGTAAAATTTTGCAGTGATCCTACGGCCACAGTACACGGTGCACATGGTCAATTGTTTATGTGGAACAGCCAAAATTATGCTTCACAATTAATATTTTTAAGCTAATTAGCATGTAATGCAATTATAGCTAAGCTAGTGAATCTCAATTTGGGCCTTCTCGTATTATTTTGCTTGCGATGTTACTGACCCCATTGAAAAATGTTTCAGTGGTAAATCTCTTCAGCGAACAAAAACTTATTTCTGTTGTGAGGGAGAAAATGATCCAGGTAATGTGTGTTTTAATTGCATGATTCATATAATACTGTAGCGACATATTTGCTATTAGCCGTTGACTGTTAGCTTGGCACTTTCATAGCTATTCTGTCACTTTAATGTCTTCCAAAAAACAGTATTTTGTGAGGGTATTTTTTGTTGCTGTTTTGGTAAGCTTTTGCGGTGTTTTTCCACTTAATTTTTTTCTGTTTTGCTAATGCTAATTAGCGCTTATGTTTTTTGTGCTTTTGCTACATTTTTCCATTTTCTGGTGTTTTCTTCAGTTGCAGTGCATTTGATCTTTCATGGCCTCTCTACCAAGAGTCTGAAATCTGCCTTTAACATTTTAAATACAGTAGACTATAAAATCAAATGTTTAACAAATTAAAAGACTCATCTCTCCAGCAGACATGCTATCTTGCTGATATTTTATCAACATGTCCTCATCTATGAATTAGGCCCCAAATAAAATTATATTTATACTATCATATTGATTGGCACTGTAGAACTGAGGACAGGCAGCCTTCACTTTGTTACCTACCAGCACATTTAATGTCTAAAACGTCATTTCATATTATGTGACTAAATTTGCTTACATTTCAGATTGGAACTGTTTTTTATTCAGATTTGATTTTCACGTGATTTAATGTTACATTTCACTTTTGAAATTTGCTTCACAAATAAATAATAGTAATTATTTTAATGAATATTGATGTAATGTAGAAAGGTTGCTGCACATTTTCTGGGTCTGATTTTAAATAGCTTTGACAATACATGATTTAAGTTATGAAACAGCTTAACATCGGCAGACGTACATTACAATCAAATCTTCCTTCAAGCTCTGGAAAGCATTTGGCTTTGTATCCTTGATCTTTTCAGACCTGTCTGGAACATTTTATGTACAAAACCTGCCAACTGGTTCTGTTGTCTTCTACCATTTCACTGCAATGTTTTGATGTGTCATGTTTAGATTAGTGATCAGATTACCAAAGTCATCCTTTTACATGCTCTCTGCTGATATATATTAGAAGCCTGATTTTTTAAAAATGTTTTTAAACATTGGTGTGTTTAATACACGGGCATAATGTGAATCACGGTATTTGTGTGTTATTGAATTCAAAAGACGAGTGATGAGACTAAAATGAAGTCTAAGTATTTAGAAAACATTCTTTCATGGGGCCAAGGTTTCTCCAGATGATTTAAGTTGTTTATTTTCTGACTGTTAGCTTCCTGTCATATCTGTCCCAACCACACTATGTAGCACTGTGATGATGCTCAAAATGATTTATGTTCCACCCCCAAAAAGTCAAAGTACACACAGATTCACCTTAGTGCAAAAGGACAAATCCTTTTAGCCCTGAAATCAGGAGAAAAGAAAGACATGGTTAAGAGTTTGTTGCTGCATTTAATGCTAAAAGAACAAAAAACAAGGGACTAGGATGTGAAACTAGACTGTTTGGTTTCATAAACACTTCAACGCTTTAGTGAGTATAGGCAAAAAAGAAAGATAGTTATAATATTAATAATATTGTAACGGAAATACTGATAATGTAAATAATCTTTTTTTCCCCCCAGTTTTAGTCATGATGTTAGAAAATATAAGGCTCCGCCCCTTGAGGTTGAACTCCAATGATATTTTCCCAAAATTAAACAAGGTATAAAAATGTGAAACCATCTCTGTGTTAGTATCTTCATAGGCCAGACTGCTGCACACTATGCACTTTTCAATTGTTGTCGAGGAGATCATTCTCTTTAGAAGTCACACAACTGCACAAGGTCGTGGGACCACGGAGCTCCCCGTCTGATGTTGATTTTGTTCACACACACAGGATCTTTGCGCCTGAAAGAATAAAAACAAAAACACACACACTAAACAGACTTTAGTCCAAGTGAATATATGTAGCATTTTCATTGTAAAAATCCAGTAACTGTTTAGGAATCACTGACATTTTTATATGCAGTGCCCATTTTCTGAGGCTCAAAAGTAACTGGACAATTGCTAAACAGTTTTATGTACGCAATTTTTAAAACAGTTTTTATGGCCAAATGAGCCCAGTTTCCTATAATTCCATGACAAATTAAGCAGATCCTTTTGTAGAATTTGAAGAAGAAAGAATTTTTTTTTAGAAGTGATCTTAAACAAATAAAGGAGGACTTTACTGCCCAATCAGCAGTACCAGCAAAAGACCATGGAAGACAGAAGAAGTGGGAAATTATTATCAAGGTAAAGAAAAACATCTGAGTCAAGAACACTCTCAGGGAGGTAGACACATAACCGGGGTGCACATACGTGGTCTGCAGGTGCGCTGTCAAAATAAAAGACGCGCACCAGATAAGAAGTTGCAACGCGCGATTGCGTACATAAGATTTTCTGGAGGAGGACAGACATTTCCTCCTCTCTTAAGTCTTAATGATGTCGAAGAAGGAAGCTCCTTTAAGCAGTTACTTTGGTGTTCCTCCACCTCCAAATAAATGTCAGGAGTCTGAACCGCAAAAGAAGCGCGTATTCTCGGAAAAGTGGTTGCAGGAGGTAAGCTGGCTTCAAACAAATGATGAACGCACAGAGATGTGGTGCAGAATATGCCGTGAAAATCCCACTCTAGCGGACAAAAACAGTACCTTTTACATGCACGCAAACGCGCGTTGCAATTTCTTATCTGGTGCGCGTCTTTTATTTTGACAGCGCATGCTCACCTGTGCACCCTGCACATAACTGTCAAAGTCGACCTTCATGAATGGAAATTTATGCACAGTTCTGTAGACTCTGTAGCATGACCAGATCATGCTTTTCAGTTACTGAAGACAAAACTAAATGCAAAGACACTCACAAAGAAGCAGCATCTGAAGGCAGCTGTAGGCAGGAAAACAGCTTTGGTAATGTCCATGAGTCCTACACTTTAGGCAGTCATTGACTACAAAAGATTTTCATAGAGTATTAAAAACAGTCCTTATATTTAAAATTATGTTAGTTTGATTGATTTAAAGTCCCTTGTGGTGGTGTACAGAGGCACAATTACAAACATGGTGTCAGTGTCCAAATATTGATTTTTAGGATGATTAATGTTGGCCTGTTAGCCTTTTTTGTTCATAGAAAGAGAGGTGAGATAAACAGGAAACACTGGGGTGAGAGACGAGATGGCGCAATCATGAATCATGTGGTCAGCTCTCTACACTCCCCGAAGTGAAATAAAGAACTGTTTAAGCAACTTTAGGCACATTATTGATACTGGCCAAATTCACACTTTCTGCAAAAGGTTAAATTTGTTCTGAAGCTCAAGTAACTCAAATTCCAGCTACTGATCACAAAGAGAAGGCCGCACACTGGTTTCAACTCTCTCTCATATCATGACATAACCTTTCAGCAGACTGCAGGACTGGCACATTAAACAGCTGACAGACCTGATACTATTCTCTAGTATGTCCGTTTACCCTGTTTCTTAATTACCTAAAGAGAGAATTTCTGTAGAGCAATTTGCTGTAAGGCTTTGGGTGACAAAACAACAACATGTATTGCTGAAAACTATACCTTCATTGACTCATTGCAGCAACGTTTGCTTCTGTTTGTCCAAAGTACTGTAACAGGAAACTGCAATAACAACAAACTGAAGCTGTGTGTTTACATATTTTGGCAAATTTATCAACCAAAGACAGCAGGGATAAACTCCAGCCCCCCGATGACCCTAATAAGCAGTTAAGAAAATGGAAAGGATGGATGGAATAAGCAATTGTAGCATATGCTGAGCATACAGGTGTTTGCCTGTAAATCGTGCCTTGGTTCAATTCATTGGTAAATGTTGTGTTTGACTTTTTATGTGCTACAGAACATATTAAAAAAAAAGCACTCCAGTATTTGTTTCAATGAGAAGAGGACCGGCGGCTGAACTGAACTGTATTTATGTGCATGTTGTGTCTGCGTCCTACCTGAGAGAGGGAAACTCAGTCACGCAGACAGACTTGACGTGGATCTCTGCCTGTCTGTAGAAGCGAGCTCCTGTGTTTGTCAGCCTGATGGAGTTGATTTCACACTGGGGGGTAGAGTGAGCCATCACCGTCCTGTACACTGTTGTATCTGTCTGACTGTAATACACACATATAGTGCATGTGAAAATAATAAACCACACAAGATGAGACGGGCGCTTTCACACAACCAACATTTATCATACTGGGAAGTTACAGCTAAAACAAACGTGGTGCCATTCTTCAGATTTAATTAAAAAAAAAAGACTAAACTCACTAAACTTGTGCTCTGAAAACATGTTTTCCCAAAACTTTTCCCATCTGAACTGTTCTACCCATACAGTACATCTGCTAAAATAAAAACTGAACACTAAAAAAAAAACAATACACAAAAATTGCTTACAAAGAATGACTTGTAATACATTCCTATTGAATTTAATTTACCTGCAAACTGGTATGAAAATACCTACCAATATTTATCACTGTCTTTTAGTCTCTGTAAACACAGGAACAACTATCTTTATCATGTGGTCTTTTTCTTTTTTTCCCTCTTATTCAACAGTTAGTGAAATCTCAGCTCACCTTCCTTTACTGTATGTCTTCAATCAACTATTTAGGCACTTTGAGCCTCTTGATACCAAATAAGCAGTACTACAACCATCAGCCTACATGTGCATCATTACATAGCCCCAACTTATCATCTTCTAATGGCAGCTTCCAGCAGGATAATGCTAAACATCACAAAGCAAAAAGCTGCTTTCTCAAACGGGTCTCATGAAAGTGACGTGCTCATGAGACCATAACCTGCTCTGAATTCAGAAGGACGCTTCGGGATGTAACAGAAGTGAAGATCAAGGACGCACAGGTACAAAACCTACATGATGCAGTCACCTCATGTGGGATCCGCAACATCAGGAACAGATGCTTTTTTGGGAATGCCGAAACTGTTGATATACTTTACCAAATAAAGTGCATGTTCAGGGATTGAGATCCTGAATGCAGACATTTTTAAAGTGAGATTTTTCTGCTAGCGATGAGTTTTGGTCATTCCTAATTTTTTAATTTGTTCTTTTTAGGTATGGAACTGAATACAGTACATCCAACTGTACATATTGTACTATTCATTAACTTTAAAGAGTAGGATCTTTGCAATATGAGATGCGTATGATATTTGTGATACTTACAGCCTGAGGATCTGCTTTGTTTCCAGGGTTTCAGCTGTCAGGGTCACTTCAATCTCAGCGCTCTTATCCAGTTTCGAAACTTCCAACTCCACCAGGATGTGGTGAGCTGAGCAGGGGAACAGTGGGAAAAATTTCATTTTAAAGTACGGTAAAACAGGAATTGTTAAACCGTGCTAGTTTAGTAGAAAGAGGAAATCTTGCTATTGGTGGGTCGGTAGGGAAGAGTCAGAGTGCATAAATGATTAAAATAATTTCTTAAGTTAGCTGCCTTCTATGTGTAGTGACGAGAGGTTAAGTCTAATGAACGTCATTCAAACTACTCAGAGTTTTAAATTTTTCTTAACAGGAGATACAAGAATATAACATTTCTTTTTAAGAAAAAATGAAAAATTCCCCCGTCTCACAAATACACTGCAACACTCACCACAATATGGCTGTGAAGAAGTCGTGAGGAGGAATAGCGTCTGCTCTTTGGGAATGGGAGATATAGATATCCCACTGTTTTCTGATAAACCTGGAACACACATAATTAAAAGGAATGAGTCAAAAGTAATTTCACGTGCATTAACTATGTCTGTATGAGTATGTAGAAGCTGAAACAATAAGAATCTGTCAAAAGCCGACGTGACAGCGTCGGCTCCACTGGAGGTGGAAGCAAAAAAGAACCTATCCAGTTTACTTTAAGTGAGATGTCATAACAACTTTATAAATACTTAAGATTTACTTTATAGTTAATAGACTGTATTGTTGGAACAAGTGTTTTGCAATAGAATGGAAGAACCACTGACAGCAGCAAGTCTTGTAAAAATAATGAGGCAGCACTATAGGCTGCAGGGCTATTAATATAACTTATAACTCAGTGTCATATTAATCTCGAGCTGAGAAACGTTTTTATTGTAGAGACAAATGACACTCCCAAAATATGCACTCATAGCTTTTCACAGTAAGACACAGGATAGTTAGAAACTAACAGCTGATAAAAGGGAGCAGCAGCAGTCTGTGTGCTGCAGGTGGTCACCCACGTGTTATTACCTATTACTGGACATTTCCCTCTGAAGATGTCGCAGTCCATACAGCGTCCCTTCAGGAAGTCCTCATAGTTGGAGCACGGGATCCCCATTAACGGGCACGAGCCGTTCAGCGCGCTCATGTAGACGTCCAGCGCCCTCATGTGGTCACATATCACATAACTGTACACTAAAAAATACAAGAAAACTGACAAAATATAGAACTTGTCGGATTATAATATTATTTTATGCCATGTTAGACCCCTAATTAAAGATTGTGAATTACTATGTAGTTTTAGTTTGCATTATTCTCCTGAATTAGAAGAAGGTGATAACTATTACATTTGTTAAACTGATTTGTATTACATTAGACTGCTGATTTATTGTGAATGAATGGTATTGTTTTATGATGCATTATACTGCTGAGTTATAAGAAATACTGTTCCAGAAAGTCATCGCCTTATTTGTCTGGTTAGAAGAGAACAGAGCATACTGCCCCATCTCAGCAGGAGCAGATAAACAGGGAGCCAAGGTCGTAGCTTAGGCGCCGTGTGAGAGAAAGAATGTGAATGTTTAGGCTTTTATGATTAGGTGGGGGCCACTAGAAGCTATAAGAGTTTGATCAAGGCTCCACCATTTTGAGATCTGATGCTGTCTGCTGTATGGTGTCCATCTCCCACACGTGTGTTCATTAAATCTTCGTTTGACTTGACCTGGCCGGACCAGTGTTGTTATTTTGTTTTTTCCTCCTGTATCCATCCCCAATATTTGAATCTGTAACAAACTACTAAGGGAGACAGATGTCCAGAGACTCTCATTAAAGTAATGGGGAAAAAAAATGTCCAGACGAAAAACTGGCTCTGCTCAAAATCTACTCATCTGTAACTGGAATTTCATTTATAACTTCAGAGGGCAAAAAAACAAGGGCGAACTACACCAATGTGAAAACAACCAAAAAAGAGCTCCTTTCCTTCTAGTTCCCCCCTCTCTTTTTGTTTTTGTTTTAGTGAGTCTTAAACTTACTTGAGTCAAACCTGGAGCGTGCACATCCAATCTGGTCCTTCCCTCCATTCAGAAAGAAGTCCACATGGCCAACAGGGATGGAGATGCCAAAATCTGATACAGAAGAAAACTGTCAGCAATTTGTTGCTACGTTGCACTGCAAACAAAATTTCAGGTATAAACACAATGTGATTTTATCAGCTGTAATACAAGTGTTAATACATACAAAAGACTTCCAATGAACTAATAATACAGTCTTTTAGGACATTTTATTAGACTTAGAAAAAATAGAGTGGTGAGTGAGGTGAGTTGGTAAAGATATGTGGAAGTGTTGCTGGTTTTGCTACTGTTAGTCTCTGTTAGCTGTTATTAGTGAAACTTTCTTTGAAGTGAATGTAACACTGTTGGACATGGGCACATGAGCGAACAAAGTCTCATAGGATGCGAGAATGTAATCAAACTGTTTATCAGAGGTAAAGTGTGATTTTTAGGAAACTCAAACCTAGCTTAGCTAGTATACTTAGTTAAACTCGGCTATTAGCTGGTTTTGTGCCAAAAAGTGATTTGTAGTAACTCTGTGTGCGTGTGTATACTAGGGCTGCCACGATTAGTCGACTAGTCACGATTACGTCGACTATCAAAGTCGTCGACGACTGATTTAATAGTCGACTCGTCGTTTGAAGCTTTGTAAGATCACAAAAGACGCAGGAATATGTAGAATTTAAGAGTGTAATAACGGACTGAGACAGAAGATGGCAGAACTGCATGTACAAGGATGCCGTTGAACCCCGAAGAAGAAGAAGTAGCTCTGTCCCAGAATTCATAGCGCGGCCCAGCTCAGTTTCCAACAATGGCAGCAGCTAGTTAGTTTTAATATTACTCTTATTATTCTTTCTGAGTCACAAAATAAACGTTTAACATATTTTCAGGCGAGAATGTAGCTGTGTAAACCTCAAATATCTGCTCAGTTTATCAAGACACCACATAT